TAGCTATTTATTCATGCCATGCAGGTGAAACCTGCAATCCTAGCAAGCCACTGATGATACTGGGGTGGTGAGGCGTTTCAGTCTTTTTATATTTTCATAACAATTTCCAACATTCCCTTCTATTTGTGAGACTAACCGCCTTTACCAGCATTAAGCATTCATTTGCATGTAGCTTTATTTTCAACTGTTGGAGAAGTCGACGGGTAGCAGGTGGCAGGGATCACAATGATAGCACTATAAACAGATGAAATGTGCTGAATGAGGGTTTATCAAGAAATGTGCGTAAGGGACATCAAGTCAATATTTGCCTCAGCATATGTCGGTAGAACATTTCATTTAAAAGCAGATTGATGATTCAGTCAATTTCCCAAATCAAACAAAAGAACATTCCAAAAACAGAACACTCCTGCTTCAATGCAGTCATTGTGGTTTGTGACTAATGCTGATAAGCAGGCTCTGTTTTACACTTAAGAACAACTGACAGTCTTCTACTGGACTAATAGCATTGTCGTTACTTCTCAACATTCTTGCTGAATTCTTTGTGAGAGGCCCAGTGTGTCTCAAATTGAACTAGAGACCAGTCTTGTGTCTTTTGTGGCTCTGTACTTTATACCATGTTACAGTCACACATTCTGTATATGTGCATTTGTAAGAATGTTAGTGCTGCTCAAAACAATAGATGACATTGTATGACATCAAACTAATTTACAACATGGAAAAAGACAGGGCAAGGGACAAAATGTGTTTATGCTACAAAACATCATGTCTATGTCAGGACCTATAATCAAATTTGATAAAGTTTGCAGATGCATTTTGTGATATAGACACATTGAAAAGACACCATTTATCCATATAAAATATATGAACTCTATATAACTATTAACAAGAACAGAAATGGCAAACAGAAGACTGGCAGATACAGGAGTATCCCGTGTGCAGAATGTAAGTGGTTTAGTAGCTGCAGCAATAATACTTGGGCTGCTTGTTAAGCTGCTCGGGGCCAGACAAAGAGCCTCTCTGACTGATCTTCTCTACTGCCCCCAGACGCAAAACTCCAGGGCACTGAACTGCTTGCACCACTATGGCTACAGTAACTCTAGTGCCACTGTTACTGTACAGTAGTATAAACTCATTGTAAATTTGTGAACAAATACATTTTAAACTTCGGAATGAAGACAATTGGAGGCAAAAGTGAAGCGGAGCATGATGTGATTTCAATGTGATTTCAGTGGAGAAATTAGGATTCATTACAGAATATAAAAATCTGAAGGCAAACTAGAAAATAACAACTCCTCAGCAAGGTGCAAGTTATATCAGACCCTGGTATAATTACATTTAAAATAGCATTTATTAGTTTATTTTTAATAAGAGAATATAATAGATGCAAAGAAGTTTTGACCAAGGCAAAAATCCTATTTTTGTAGGTTTTACTGGACAAGTACAACGTTGACCCGACAATAGTTTTTAATTTTATCTACATATATATTTCAAACTTTACTACAAATACAATCATATTTTGAGACTAGATACATTTATTCTTTCCATCATTTGTCATGGAAAAGCAAACAGACTGACATTTCTACCATATTTTGTTACAAAGACTTAACATTACATTTGCATCAGACGTCAGTTAGAAAATATATGGTCTACTTTGCCTCAGTTCTGGAATTTGGAACATTCTGATGACTGCATTTTAAGGGTCTATTGTGGTTTAGTGTGTAAGTTTCACCTTTATCTGTTGTCTGCGCAGCATGGCCAGTTCCCTCATGTCCCTGAATGGCTGGAGCAGGTAGTGGTACAGCTGAGTGGTGGCCTCCAGTAGATCACTGTAGGCTTCGTCCTCCTCGGGGTAGACTTGTAACAGCTCCACCATACTGTCTATTGCTTTGTGCTTCTCCAACACCTGGGAGCAACACACAGGAACAGTTAGCAGTTCAGTTATTTACCATATGTATGCTACTGTTTCATCAGAATTTTATGTGTGATGCTACTTATTACAAAATAAATACATAAATAAATAATTTAAAAAAAAGAAGGCTGTGGTATCAACACACTAGAGACTATGGTAGTTAAATTTTTGCTACCATCGAGACTATAGAACAATGTACAACATGTAATAAGTATTTAAAATGTATGGCCAAATAATATATATATATATATATATATTTTTTTTTTTGATGATCAATCTATATTAGTCTATTTAAATCTAAATCAGAGTAGAGGCTGCTAGTCTGTCAAATAGTAGAAGCTTTTTACTTTTTCATTCTTGTCAAATCTTATAATTTAAGAAGTAGTTAACTATCTTCAATTTCATTTGTATAAACATGTAATGCAATTGCAAATGCAACAGTGAAATTAATTGTTTAGTTGATAGTTGATTGTTTCAGTACCAGTAATACTTGTTTTGTAATAATCCTTGTTTTAACCATTTTGATATTTAAAAAAAATTCTAAATTTCTAAATCATCAATTCCTCAATGAATTTCGTTATTTTAAAATATGGATGCTCATGCCACCATAGACTCAGTACAAATCTGTAGGAAACATGGGATGTAAGTAATAATGATGATGTTGCATGATTAGCATAATACATTTGAATAACTTGATCTTGACTGGTGCTGATTCCATACTCTCAAAACATCTATTGTACACTTAATACAGACATTGCAGTATGTCTCTGTGTGATATGAAAAAAATATACTCCATGCAATGTTTAATGTAAAGTAGGGAATAAAGTGTCACTCTCTGCCCAAGGCTATAGACATGAATGGGGCTGTTATTAGAAGAAGTTCAGGTTGGTTTTCCACAGCCCTACTAAGGGTCCGGCCCAGGCACACACTGCACGATTCAGCTCGGACACTGCTCCTTCTGTTTACCTTGGTTCTGTGTCTCCATGGTAACCACTACATCCCAAATCCTACCCAGAGCTGGACCACTGGAGTGCTGCAGAGTAAACTTAAATAGATAGAAGTAAGCTTGATGCAATATTTCACCTCAAACCTACATGTAATTACTATAAACTAAAATGAAATACTTAAATAGAATGCAGACAGTCTTTGATTAAGGCACTCAGAGGAATAAAGATATAAAATGTTTTTCTCTAAAAGGACCATGCCTGACAGTACTGAAGATTATGAGTTACATTGTGTCTAATTAACACAGTCACCAAAGAATCCAGACTCTGTGTTGAGTTTTAAGTGTCAACCTAGTGAAAGGCTTTAAATTAGAAACACTACACTACATTATATTTAGGTCCATTTAATACCACTCTCTGTTTTCAAATTTTAGGCACAATGTTTCAGCCTAAATAAACAAAATAAAGTGTGTAGCAATGTCTGATGAACCATACAAACAGAAACAAGGTTAGCTAATTATTAGCAGAACATTTGTTTAGGGTACATCTTCTGTCTAAGCCACTACTCAATCATTTTGAAATTTTTTGTCCTAGTATTCTAAACTGGGTTAACATTTTGAATAATAATATAACAAACTACAAACCCCAACTCAAGATTGAGGCAAGTGATCAACATTAAAAATGTTTTTATAAAAAAGTACTTAACTCTATATTTTCTCATACAGTTTACATTTCTGATGTTAGGAGGACACAGGACACAATATTACAGGTAGGTAGGTCCTTGGCTTCTGCTCAGTGTATGACTCTGTAGTGCCTCTACTCTCAGCTGCAGCAGAAGAGACTGCTAGACTATGACAACTCATCTGTATGAAGTGTGTATCAAGTTATATCACTACTGTCACATTTCACTCATCACCACAATAGTGTGCATAATTCTGCACTGCGTTTTGCACCATTTGTGATCATCTCTAGATTTTTTTTTATAATGCTATATATTAAGGATGTGCAAAAATCACATAATTGGGATTAAACTATTATTTTCCAATTTCCAGGAGAAAAGTTTGTGTCCTGTTTTCTTCAGTTTGTTTCTCTACTGAGCCTCAGTATCTTAATTAATTAATTAATAATAATAAAAAAATAAATACAACCTAAACCAAGTAATGTAATAATTTATACAATTTGGGTAAGGTTAAAGAGTAATTAAAAAGAAAAATGAATTAAAACATAATTACATGGGAGGGGGTCTTTCAGTGCCTACATACTGTTGGTTTCTTTTACATTTACTGTTAATTTTATAGTAAGTTAACTCATAAAAGGACAGTTGCTCAGTTCAGTATGCTCAGTGTTATTTTGTTCCAGACAGTGGTGAGTGATTTTAGCCATGTTTCTGAAGACTTTAAAGGGAGTTGTTTAAAGGAAACTACCAATTATGAGTGAACGCAAAGCAGCTATGTCTGGCATACTTTAGTAGTTATGAAGGTTCAAGTTGTTGATGTTTTACCATTACCTAAAGTCAAACGGAAATGAATCTCAACAACAGCTGCTGAAACAGTGAATATTCCAGCTCCACCTTTAATTGTTCTGTGGTGTTTTCAGAGGAACTGCCTTCATGCGTTCAGCTACAGTGTGGAGTCTGGACTCAGAGGATCATATTACAGCCATGTGAGTGTGCAGCAACAGATGGTAGATCACAGGGGACAAAGGAAGAGGAGGAGAAAGAGCAGGCATGAGGCCTACAGTCAAACTGTTTCTACAACATTGGCTACTTTTTGTTATTTTTTAATTTTTATTTTTTTTTTATCAATTTTTTTATCAATTTGTTTGCAGCACATGGGCCACATATAACAGTAATATTAACAATAAAAATAAATACCTCATGCATGTGTCTTTTAGCCCTCTCCAGAGCATCCTCATAGCCTTTCTGTTTTAGTTCACTTAGGCTCTCATAGTATTCTTCTGTGTCATCCCCTTCAGAGAACAACACCTGTGACAGAATCTTCCAGCCGCATGTGTCCAGGGCATGACCCAGGTACACTTGCAGCTGGTAGCATAGAGCATCTCTCTCTCGATGTGATAAGGCTGTGGTCCCAAACACCGCCGTCCATACGCCGAACTGTTCCTCTGGGAACGGGGGTAAACACGGCTCA